TTCTTTCTTTCTTTCTTTCTTTCTTTCTTTCTTTCTTTCTTTCTTTCCTTCTTTCTTTCTTTCTTTCCCTCTCGCTTTCTGTCTCTCTCTTTCTCTCTTTTTGGTCTTGAGACAGGGTTTCTCTATGTATCCTTGGCTGTCATAGACTTACCTTGTAGACCAGGCTGGCCTCGAACTCACAAAGATCCACATGCCTCTGCCTCCCAAGTGCTGGGATTAAAGCATGCACCACCACTGCCCGATTTTAACACCTGCTTTCTAGCAGCATCCCTTTGGCTGACCTTTTATTGTTGACGATATAATGTGAGGATTCTATATCACCCAGCCACATGCATGTAGCTATTTTTTTCTTTGCAGTAGGCCAAGGAAGTTCGAGTCTTCTCTCTCAACAATATAAATTACACCCTCAAAGTTGTTCTTTGAAGCTTTTAGGATTCTTGTTTTGGTCGTCACAGATATCATCCCACCCCTGAGCTTTGTCTCCTTTAGTAGCACCCCCTTTTTCTCCTGTGTTCTATCCTGGTCCTCTCCCAGATTATGTAGGAGGCATTCAAAGTATCTGTTGGATAAATTGTCATAACCTCAGATGGGATTTTAGGTATTGTGCCTTTGCTACATTTACTGAGATTGTTCAGAACGGCTTCACTCAGGAAGATCTCCTCATCAGTGAAGCACTTCCAGCAAGAATGCTGAAGACAACCACAGTGAGCCAGCAATGGTTAGCTCTCCCTGGGAACTAGTCCATTAGAATGCATTGCAGGCCTTTGAATCCTGCACTCCTCTTGTAAGCCTGCCGTGGCCAGACTCCTCGCCCATCTGTACCCGCCTTTCTTATCATAGCAGTCCTTGTTACTCTTTGTAGCATGCCAGACTTAATGTCTGTAATTCTGTTGTTGAACCATTTATTTCCTTTTGTTTGCTAGAGAAGGCAGTGCAGTGGAGGGTAGATTCTGAAACCACACTGCCTAGATGTAGTGTTAGAAACATTAGAATATATTCATGTGTATATCATGCTTGTGAACCATGATAATAATTATTAACTGCACATCGGTTTAAATAGAACAAAACCAGTCAATTCCCCCTTGCTGCCATGGTATCAGCTAAATTTGTTGTGACTTTGTTCTTATGACTTTTTGGATGATCTTTTCCCTCAGCTTATTCCAGTTAACCTTTTAAGTATGATAAACATAGTACCCACAAAGTAATTAGCAAAATTCAAAGTTTCTAACCTACTGACCTGTCCCTAATCATCTCTGTTTAGTAAGGACAGTTTAGTAAACTGTCCTTATTTTTTGTAACATTTTATGATCTTATTGATAATTTTTGTTTGCCAATTTCTAAAACTGCTGTAGCATTTCTTTCATTGCTTCTACACTATTAGAATTTTTCTGAGTAAAGTTTTTTAAAAACCCATAGTAGACTTTTTTCAAACAGTTTCAGGTCTGTGGCAAAATTGAATGGAAGGTACAGCTTCTGCATATCCAGTGCACTCACACAGTGAGTGACTCTCCTGTTAGCCATCCCCTCCACTGGTATTGCAGGGAAGGCCACACTCTTCCTCGGAGGCTTCGTGGTTGCAGCTGCTGACACTAATTGGTAGTAGACACAGGAGGCGATGCATACACACTCATCACCATGAACACAGATGTGACAGCTGTATAAAACACGAAACTCAGACAGGCCGGATGGCTGAGGCGTCAATTCTGTCTTCATAGCAGAGAAAGAAGCGGGAGGCTGAACAGGAGTAACTGATTGGTGAGGAGAGAATGAGTTTGTAGAACAGACAACAGTCAGGGGCAGTAGTCCTCTGGACTCTGGGTGCTGCTGCTCACCGGTTCCTCTGTGACAAAGGTTAGGTCTTCCTTTGGTAGAGAGTACTTCTAAGAAATCCCTTCTCTGAAATCACTGCTTCTCACTTCTTCTCTGAAATCACTGCTTCTCACTTTCTTTTTGAACTACATCCAAAGCAGCATGGAGGGGGGACGGGAGGCTTTTTCTAAGCCCCAGAAAGTATAACTGATAAACCTGTACTATATTTTTCGCACGGTCAATAACTTGCATTAGGCCCCTCTCCTGCTGTTGTGTAGTGACAGATTTGAACAAATGTACCATTGAATATTTCTAACACTATTGTGACAAACATCAGAGTTTCACTGCCCTAAAAATCATCATCTCTGTAATGTTTTAGATACATTTTATTGTTTTCCTTGGTGTGCATTGCTGAGCCATAAGATTCATGCACTTGGTTGCCAGAGTGTCTGAAGCTATGTTTCCACACATGTCTATGAGCACTTGTTTCTCCATTTCTTCCTGAGCATTTCTGTAAGAGGCCTGGCAGAAATGAGTTTTCTACAGAGACACTGTGTCTCTCAAACTGACTCTCAGACTATGGAAACTGTGTGAGAAATTCCAAATGGGAATTTATCCAGGAGCCTCATGCTTGGAGATGGAAAGAGTGCCAGCCATTGGGTAGCTTCTCTCCGGCAAAGATTCTCCTACAGGCAGGTCTGATAGTTTGACCACCACCACCTTTCAGAGACCGAAACACAGAAAATGACGAGTCAGTGGTAGGTGGGAGCACACCGTGACCAGGACTATTTAGATATTCTTATCCTTGGACCTCTCTTTAAACTTTGATCTCACTTCAGGACCTTCAGGGACCTTGAAGGGTTCTCTGAGTCTCTTTGTACCTCTTCCCTCCTTTCTTTAGTTTCCAGTACTAATTTGGCACTTTTTATTGACATATTAAGAACGGGTGGCTAAACCTGACTTGGTCACAG